TGAAGAGCGATTGTACATTCCAAAAGGACTAGCACGACTCCGAGTTCTTCAATCTCGCCATGATTTTCCAGCTGCGGGACATTTTGGATTCAATAAGACCTTGGAGCTTATTTCCCGAGATTTTTGGTGGCCCCAAATGTGGAAGGATGTGAAAGATTTTGTCCTCTCTTGTGACATTTGTTCAAGATCTAAGAATCCTCGGCATCGCCCTTTTGGACTTCTACAGCCATTGCCAATTCCACGTCGACCATGGTCTTCAATTTCTATGGACTTCATCACGGACTTGCCATCATCAAACTCATTTGACAGCATCTTTGTCGTGGTAGATCGGCTTACGAAGATGGCACACTTTGTTCCTTGTAAGAAGACATCATCTAGTGAAGTCACAGCAAGACTCTTTCTCGATAATGTGTATCGATATCATGGACTACCAGATGATATCATATCAGATCGAGGTACCCAATTCGTGTCAAAGTTTTGGAGATCTCTCTTTGGGATATTGAAGGTGGATATCAAGCTTTCTTCAGCTTTTCATCCTCAAACTGATGGCCAAACGGAACGGGGTGAACCAAGTCTTGGAGCAGTACTTACGATGCAGCATCAACTATCAGCAAGACGATTGGACTGCATATCTATCACTAGTCGAGTTTGCATATAACAACACCCTCCATGCGTCGATTCAACAAACACCATTCTTTTCCAACTATGTGTATCATCCGAAGCTTGATTTATTGAGTCCGTCAACAAATTTCAATCCAGCAGCTGAAGGATTTGTGAAGCAACTATCAGAGCTTCAAACTATGTTGAAGCTTCAATTACAATCCGCTCAAGAATCCTATAAGATGTCTACAGATAGATTTCGGAATCCAGCACCTACTTTCAAAGTTGGAGACAAAGCCTGGCTTCTTCGACGAAATATCAAGACCAAGCGACCATGTAATAAGTTGGACTATCGAAGATTGGGACCATTTATCATCCAGAAGCAAATTAATCCAGTGGCATACCGGCTGGAGTTACCGGCTTCTATGAAGGTACATCCAGTCTTTCATGTTTCTCTGTTGGAATCTCATCGAGAGTCATCTTTTCCTAGAAGAGTGCAATGTCCGCCACCTAGTATTGAAATCGAGAACCACGAAGAATACGAGGTTGAAAAGGTATTGGATTCACGGCGAAGGTGGAAAAAGTTAGAATATCTTGTTCATTGGTGCGGCTATGACATTAATGAGCGAACGTGGGAGCCACCTGAAAATCTTGCGAATGCGCCACAAAAGGTATAGGAGTTTCATCAACGACATCCCGATAAACCTAAATCAATTCGATGATAGCTTCTTTCTGAAGCTTGTTCTCCCAACAATATAAGAAAAGGGGAGAGCACCAGCAAAATTCATAGTTGATGTAGTTATTTTCTCCAAAATAGATCGTAGTTTGGTCTTTTGATATGGATAGCCAAGAGATAGGTACTATGCCAGTCAGAGTATCGCAATCGAGTAGCTCACGAAGGCGACCCCGAGATGAAGAACTACATGTACCATGACGACGATGGAGGATACCGAGTAACCGATCACTGGTGATCGTATTTGAGATCGAACCTGCTTACGATGGTCAACCAGAAGGCGTGTTTGCAGGACAATTTCACAATGAGGACACGGAACTTCATGCTTGGTCAGAAGTCGAAGGCGTGGGCCACTACCGTTGGCTTCAAGGGTCGATGAACCACTTGCCTCGTGAACAACAGTTGGAGTTCATAGCAGAAGTTATGCGACAGATCTTCATTTTCTTGCGTTGGTACTGATCAACAACATTGCTTCTCAGAGACCTCGAAGCTAAAGGAGGGGATGATGTTAGGGACATATTCCTTAGAACTTTTTAGAGAGAAGTTTCTAGAAGCTTCTAGAAAGGAAGTCTCTGGAACCTTCTAGAAGAGAAGTTTCTAGAAGCTTCTAGAAAAGAATCCCCTGGAACTTTCTAGAAGCTTCCTAGTTAATAAAAGTAGCTCGAGAAGTTTCTAGAACCTTCTAGAAAGGAAGCCTCTGGAACCTTCTAGAAGCTTCCTAGTTAATAGAAGTAGCTCGAGAAGCTTCCTAAGTAGGAGTATATATAGGGATCGAGGCTGAAGAGTTCTTCAGTCTCGACAACACATCTCTTGGAATTCTAGCTCACCTTTCTGGTGTTGTTCTTGTACTCATCTGTTTAATCTAGTTCTGCCACTTCTTCTTGAACTTCTTGTTAGATTTCAAGTCTGTATTTTGTATCCGTGACAACTATAGAGGATTGGAAGAGGATTATTTGATCAGATGAGACAAAAATCAACAGATTTGGGTCACATGGCAGAAAAAAGATATAGAAATAAAAAGGTTAGTCCTTGCTTAACAAGAAGATTTAAGAAATAGTTAAGCATGGAGGTAAAAATATAATGGTATGGGGTTATATGGGATGGAATGGAATTGAAAGGATGGCAAAGATTGAGAGGAGGATGGATGCCAAGCAATTTGTGGAAATTCTTGAAAAAAAACCTGCTCTTTAATATTGAAGAATGTGGCATTTATGAGAAGGAGGTGATTTTTTTAGCAAGACAACAATCCCAAGAATAACTCAAAACTAGCATGGAAGTATTTTGATCATCATGGAATTAAAGTAATGGATTAGCTTGCTCAATCTCTTGATCTTAATTCCATTGAACATCTTTGGGAGCACTTCAAATGCCAACTCAACACTTAGAAGATAAAATCAAAGGAAGTTTGGAAATTATAGGAAAGAATAGTTGTAGAATGGAATAATATTAAAGCAATTTTGTGCCAAAAGTTAATAGAAAATATGCCTAGGAGGTTGGAAGCAATTATCAAGGCCAAAAGAGGAACTACAAAGTACTGATATGTAATTGGATACTACACTCAAAAAAATGTTTTACTACTATTTCAAATTGGATTGATCATAGCTCTACAATTACCTAATGGATTCTTTTCAACTTCGGCTCAGTTGGTAGCTGTAAAAGAGTACTTTATTTGCTATATAAACCACTTGTTATTATGTACTACAATTCATCTATAATATATTATTCTTTCCAATATATGTCAATATTGAAATATTTTTTTAAGTCACTATATAATACCTCAAAACTTGTCTTTATCTAGATTTCAATTGATAAAAGTATACATAAAAAAAGAATATTATACATTATTTTAAATAAAGATAATTAAATTAAATTATCAAAGATAATTGTATTAAATTAATAGTATTTTTTCTAAAATTACTTAGATTTAAATACTTATGTAGTTACTTAAAATATAATATAATAAAAAAGAATTAAATAATCTAAAATATTTTTTAAAAATATTTTAGATAGTCTTACTATTGCAAGCTAAAGAAACTTTAAAATATATTCAAAACTATATAATTGAACTACCTTAAAAAATATCTATTTAACAAATAAAATCATATGTAATTGCAATTAAAATACATAAATTTGAAAATTACTAGTTTAAGCTAATTTGATGGTTTTATATAAAAAAAGAATTAAAAAAATCATTTCAAAGAAATTAAATTATTATTTTTATTTTTTAAAATTACTATCTTGAATGCTTTATATATATTTTATCAATGCCTCTTATTCTTCATTCATATATATATATATATATATATATATATATATATATATATATATTTATTTATTTATTTACTATTTTATACTTCAATTACTATAAGCTATGTTTTCTTAAGTTTTTTTAATAAAAATATCACATATTCTAAACATTAATAAAAAGCAATTCTTGTTCTCTTGATACCTTGGACACTCTCTTAAGAAATTACAAACAAAATATTTAAAACCTAAGCTAGATGATAAACATATATATTAAAAATTATTATTGAAGAAAAAAAAATAGTCTTAAAATTTGACTTGGCAAAAATCAGATATGTTTTTATTATTAGTCAATAAAATGAAATAAGACTATTAAAGTGATTAAATATGAATCACTAAAAAAATAAATTTGAATATTATTTGTTACTAACAAGTAAGATAACATGGTCTTTAGATGAATAAACAAATGACATTTTAGATTAGAGATGTTTTAAATAAATATTAATAAAATCTTAGTTATATATTATAACTTTCACATTAATTAATATTGCAAATTTAATTAGTAAAGTGATATACATTAAATGCTGATCATTTGCATGAAATAGTGGTTTAAAACTAATAAATAATTAATTATTAATGTAGGATGTTTTTATACAGAATAATTTATAAAAAGGGAATAAACTAATAATTTAATAAATTTATCAATTCCTATTATTAAAAATTGGCATCAAAATTATCTCAAATTATTTGAAGAATAAACATGTGATAATATATTTAGCCATAAAAATAAAGCAAATGGCAATCTATTATGTATATAATAAAATTCTTTCAACCAATAGAACTTATTAAATAATAAATAAAATAAATATTCTAATATATATACTAATAATTTATAATATTTATTAAATTTGAAAAATAATATTAAATATTATTTATTTCAAAAGCATGATTAATTTTAAGAAACAATATAAACATTAGTAGTATATTTTATAATAGGTTTTAAAATATAATGATTTTGTAAAAGAATATAAAAATAATAAATTCAATAAATAAAATTATTTTTAAAAACATTTGCAAAGGATTCTTATCCAATGAGATCATTAGATCATTGAAGTTTGGAAACTTTATCTATTTACAAGTAAATGTGATGACTAAAAATTAAGTTTATATTTGCTTCTAATAAAACCAAAACATTTTACAAATGCTAAACTTAATTTTTGGCTTTGTAAGTACTTGAAACCATCTATCAAACTAAATAAACTGTAAGCAAAGAAAACTTGAAATTTTCAAATGTAACAACTTGATTGCAAATAGTTAGAATTTACATTACTTTGATGGCCAAAACTATGACAATCACTGCTTGATTAATAACTAGAAGAAATGGTCAACATGTGCTGCTAAGAAATGTATGTCAAAAGGCATGAAATCAAGTTATAATTTGCTCCATAAATTTTATTACATCATTGAGCGTTTACTATACCTCTAAAAACTAGACATCACCCTAAAAGGTAAAGAGATGAGAGCAGGAAGATTACGCAGAGGCATAAAATTAAATCTCTGTGCATTCAAAAACATCAAAAAAGTCAACCATTAGAAGCATGCGAAATGCCATTTTAAAAGTTTGGCTTGACACTGTTCTACATATCACACAGATAAGTGTATATATATATATATATATATATATGGCGGACAATCAAACAGCTACAACCAACACACCTCATTAAATGAAAGGTACATGTCTTAAGTGAAGTGTTTCTGGATGTTAGTGAGAAGATATACTCCAGGCGGGGGGCAGGTGGGTATCGAAATTATTCCACCCAAATAAGAATCATTCTCTCAAAAATAACAAGTCATTCAAGCTCAAGTTCAACAACACTAGGAGCTCCTTTTGAGTCACTTGAGTGAAACATGGCCTCAATTACAGCCACATCGCGCATGGCTTCCAAAACTGAGCTCCGCTTGTCAGCTTCCTCTCCTGACTGTCCCTGCAATTCATTACCAACATGTTTTTTTTATTTATTTTTATTTTTTATTTCAGCATCTCTAATAGCAAGAAGTGGTCCAAAAATACAACTGCCCAAGTGACTCAGGCAAGGAAATAGTTGTCCTATTTACCCAGTGGCAGAGATAAAGGTTCAGCTTTGCATCTGCTATTCGATCGTGAATCCTCACCTCAAAAGCTTGCTAGTGTACAAGTATCACTATGAACATCCAAAGTAGCTCACCTCAAAAGCTTGCTAGTGTACAAGTATCACTATGAACATCCAAAGTAGCTCACCAAGCATGGATGCATACTGTACCAAGACCTGTTCCTATAATCCTTCTGTGACAAGCGCAACCACAGCAGAAGAAAGTTTACCTGAAATACACATCTTGCCACATCCTCGGAGAAGGCTCGTAGCTCCTCATACACACCAGCAAAAGGACAAAACACCTCCTGGATCTCCCCCTTTGCAGGCTGGTAGGTAGTCTGCAATGTGGTAAAAGCATACATACATGAGAAAGAAGACATTCGTATATGAACTGAAAGTTGGGAAGAGACCTTCGTATGTAAAAAGTCGGGGTGTTTTCACAGGTCGTCGAGCGAAAACAATCGTTCTTACTGATTACCTAAGGTGGGATGCTTCTGCTCTTACAGAGACAAAATCATGTTGTGTTGATTTCACTTTGCTTAACAATAACATGTCCCAATATTTGGAGAAAGCATTTATACCTTGTAACCATGCTGTCCATTCTGCACTGTGCGATCCACCTCCACTGTACCGAGTGAACCCACCACTCTCCAAATCATCTACACATATACAGGGTAAGTTAATCATTTGATTCACCGGACCATGTAATTCTAGGATCACTTGTCTCCACAAAGACATGGAAACCTTGATGAATGCACCAGTCCGGAATGTCAAGTAACCAACACAAACTCAAGGCAAAATAACGGATACTTTCACTGCTTGGAGCAGAACAAAGTCCTTAATGATATGCACTTCAGAATTACCTTTCTTGATTTTGCAGAATAACATATATACACAACTCCAGCAGTTCCATTTTGTAATTGTCTGGTGCATCAATAATCATCACACAATGTACATAGTAAGTCGGAAACTTGCATTTGAATCGTTGTCTCTAACATGGAAAATTCCTGAACATCGACCGAATCGTTGCCTCTACAAACAGCTAACAGTATGTCTATATATATATATATATATATATATATATAAGTGTAGTTGACATCATGTACAATTACGACTATAATTCATGCACAAAGTATCGCTGTTGCATTGTTTCAGAAATTCGTAGATGAGGACTAAACAGCCTGTCTACGGCAGATCGACTTCTGGTTGAGTAAACAATACAGGAACTTAAGACAGTGGGAAAACATTCTTGGAACTCACATCAAAGCCGACAAATTATCTGGAGGCGGTAGAGTTAGGTCAACATGTGACACAGTGGCTGACACAGAATCAACCTCACAGCCCATGATCTGCATGACAAGAAAAGTAGTTTAAAATACTTGAAATACACTTGCTTTCGGTGTACAAGAGCATACATCTGTTTTCAGTTCTAATAGTTGGGCAAGATTGCAATTACCAATCAGATCGTAGCATTCACATTCTGATGTATAGCTGTGAATGCTATCCGTAACTCATCAATGGTGATGAAGTGGATGAGTACGGTGTAATACGGCATTCATCTAGAGATGAAAAAATAGAAAAGAAAGTAGAGTTTACACTGACCATTCGCAATCCAGCAATAAAATGTACGCCTCCATCGAGCATAAATCCACCCTACATCAACGCAGAATCAGAAAGCTGCAACAAAGAAAGGTTTGCTCAATCCAGCCATTATGTGCTCATTATCCAGTCTCATATGTTGATTAAACAATGCTATTACAATAGCACGAAAACTATATCATCGTCACAGAAGATAAACAATTTTCCGGGTAGATACAAAATTTAAAATCTCAAAAATTGCTCAAGCTATCGAGCAGACTTCACTAGCAAGAAATATGCAGGCGTCAATCAACAGGAATTGAAACAGGAAAGTTAAACACCTGCGTAAATTAATGCACCTATGAACATGCTCTAAATCGACATGATCTGACTGACAAAATGTTGCATCGGACAGAGGTATGGCACCTTAAAATTTGCTTCACGGCGCCAAGAACTTGAAAAGTAGGGGCTAGAGCTGTTCATTGGTGCTTCTATCAGCACTTGAACACCCATAATTTGACCTAGTTCCTTCACAAACTTTCCAGCCTGATTCTCCAATACTCCCCGAATAAGTACGGCCACATAGTCTACTATTGTTTCACAACATTCCCCAATGCCGAGAGTAACAACACATGAAGAAGGAAAAGCAAACGAAATCCGCAATCTGACTAGATTATAGTGCATTAACAAAAGGAATGGAAAAAAGAAAAACGGGAGTTTTTGTTACATCGTCAACTGAAAAGGTAAACACAATTTTGACTCGCAACATATTTGACCCAGTAAAATTTCCCCTATTATGATGTAAATGTTCTAATTGGTTCCATTTTTGCAAGATTTAGCTTGGCATGTCTCAGTGTAGCGAGATATTGACGTGAGCAACCTGGATCAAGGCAGGTTCGAAACGGTAGTTTTCTGCTACAGCCCAGATAGGTAGCTTCGTATCGTTTTTCGCAAGAGCTTGATATGCTGACCAAGCCGAACGCACATCCGCAACACCTGAATAGAAATATGGTAAAATTCTCTAATGTCTAAAAGTAACTGACAATGCAATATGGTCGTTTCTGAATGTTAGTAGAGCAATTCATGTCGGAGGATAATAACTCGAGATTTAATACCTACTAAGCCCTTGATGAACGCAAAGACACCAAATCAAGCAAAAGCACTAAAATCTCATTCCAAGAACAGGTTTAAGTTTGGGATTTTGAAGGTGCTTACTTGGACCGACAGGCTTCTCTTTATTTCAAGTATCACAAATGGATAGAAAACACAGCCAGAAGGATTGTCAGCCCATCGTATCATCCTCGAACGATTTGCAGAACATTCTATTTAGTTGCATATTCATAAAAGTCTAACCATATCCTTGAATTAAAGAATCTTCTTACCTGTCACAACCTCAGGTGACAATCGCAAAGACGAAGTAGTCTTTAAGTAGATGTAAAAATACATAAGAATTCAAGAGAGTATCACGATTCCCACTTCTATCCTTTTACCCATTATCTGAGCAGGTGTAAGACTCTATTCACGTCTCTTGGACGACATCAAATTCTAATTTTCAAGGACTTCAAACAGCCTGTATTTCTGACCATCTGGTCAAAAGGTTTATGTTTAAATACGTTCATCTAATTAATGATTGAAATGGTTCGCCCAAAATACTAAAAATACGATACAACCAAAGACGCTTTCTCTTCCAAATATAAAGACACTTTGTCAAAGAAAGTCTTGAATCTACTTGAGTTAGCGTGTGCTCACCTTGTATTACGTGTTTCCCTGCCTCCAATGCTCGCAGAACAATTTCCAGCTGCAGTGCGAGGTTTTATCATTGAAATGATTATTAGTACTCTCTAAGTCAATCAAGACTTTCACATATTTTAGAGTGCCGACAATGCTCGTTTCCATTGTCTATGCGTAAGTGTCTTCTGAGGAACTATTAGAAAGTTTGATAGATGCTGTCTAACCCTTGAAAGCCAAAAACGTTTAAACCACGGCCCTACCGATACAGAATAAACAGGCGTTGATTCTATTTCCAGCTCAGCTTGCAAATAATTTTCATCGGAGGTCAGGTTTACCTGGACTTTTATCATTGCAAATTGACTGCAAAGTTTCAATAAAGACGTAGACACGTAGAAACCCGAAGTGCAAGACTCATAGACAGTAAGAGCATTCAATCAGTCTCGACTTTTAGCGAACCTGGTGTTGGGCAGGGAGAACTACGGCGACAGCATGAATTGATTTGTCTTGAAGTATGGACTCCAGACCTTCTTGACCCCACTTTGCCTCTGCGTTGGGTGCATATGATTTGGCCAACTGTAAGGCCTTCTTTGCTCCATCCTGGTATCCAGAAGCACAGTCAATCTCAAATCGGAAGTGGGTAAGAGATGCCATCCGTTTCCAACAAATCTTTGCACGAAGAAATTGGAAAACTCTACACTTTACAATAGTATCGAATCAACGCAGGGTACATTCAGCAATAGGATTTACCTCCGATCGACTCCAAATAGTATTCAAGGAGACAATTCCACCCAATTCTCCTAGTTTAGGGATATACTGGCTTGAGGCAAATATGCCTGAACCCAACAGAGCCAAACCAGGAATCCCATCTGCCATTGCTGCTACCTCGATGCTCCTCTGAAACTCTGTAACCAGCTTCCAGCATATTCAGAACTAAAAACGCTACCCGAGACTTAACACCGGCAATGAAAACTGGAATAAGCTCAAAACCAATCATTCAATCGCACCACGGACTCAATCCAACCATTAGTGCGAAAAAGAACGAAACATTTCATGTAATGAACAAGGGTCCGGCCACGACATGCATTACTTGACGCAATGCCGCATTTTAACTAAGCTCTCGCAGAACACCACCACTAAGTTGCACTGGCCACCGGACAGAGTGAGACGAATCAACTGCAAATTCCAACTTTGAAAGACTACCCTCACAAGCAGAAACTCATTCTTCACCCTAAGCATCAGATCGTTGCCTCAAAGTAATCCAAAGACAAGAGCGTATCCGCACCGCTTTAATGAAATCTCTGTTAATGTCAGAACGATCGGGACACGAGCTCCCAGCAAAACGCACGGCCTTGAAGGTACCCACAAAGTGCAGCATTCAAATAACGAAACACCGAAGCAAACAAACACGATTCTAACGCTGTGAAGGTCAGAAAAACAGCAAAAAACCAGATCTAGTTTAGATGGGTTACCAGCGTTTGTGCAGTGTCGACAAACAACGAAGGCAGATTGATGATTGGCAGGACAATCTGCCGCGAGATCTGACCCCAGCTTGCAGATCGACCTGGTGGAATTGCTGATTTGGTCATTTAGACAATGAGGCTTTGACAGAAAGAACAGAATAAAAAGATATGAAAGAAAAAAACCTCATCTTTGGTGAGAATTTGTGTTTTCTGTACACGCATCAAAATCTGAGCTTTTCATCAAAAATATTCGGATAAAATTAAAGTGGATGTGAAACCTCGCTGAAGACTGAAGAGCTGTCGGTAGTAAATTTGTAGTCCTTGTTCTAACAAAGTTTGTGATGTTATATGAACAGATTAATTTGAAGCATTTTCAATAAGCTTGTGAACTGAGCTGGCTGCATGAGTTTGAGGCATAATATTGTATTGTTTTCTTTTCAATTCAGTGATGATTTTGAAGTTTATATCGTGTTTCAGAAACATGTTTATATGTGTAGATTTGGCATTTCGGAAACTTTTGAAGGATGATTTACTTTGCAAGAACGCTTCGTACATGAAGATTTTATCACACAAGATTAAAAAAACCGTTTCATATCAAATTATTAAGTTCATGTCCAAATAACTTTTTATTCAATCAACTCTAAAAAATAAATATCAATGTTCCCGAAATAAAAGGATTCTTCCGGAATGGCAAAATGTACATAATTACTGTACTTGTTTTCAACTCATTGCAGGAGAGTGGTCTAATCGTCTTACTTGTAGTTGACAATACGTTGCAGATACTACTAGGACATTTGACTTGTTTATGTTATGTGACTAATTGTACAAGATTAAAAGCCTAAAAATGAGGAATTATGTTATTGAAATTGCTATACGGGTAATATGTTACATATTACAGTTAATTGTAATTACCAAAAAAAATGCTCTGGAATTGATCACAACGAAATGAATTCAACCATTCTCTATCATTTGTATTAGTATCTCACCCAATACAAAGATCGATTCACAGATTTCTACACAAAATAAAACTGGAAAAGTTTAAGCTGCAGAAGATAGAAAGCATGCTAGAAATTTCCATCAGTTCTCAACACGTGGTCGCTATCTTACTCCACCTCACTTTTTTTGGAAGAAATTTGATTGTGGAAATAAGCAACTTGGGAAACATGCATGGCGAAAATTCCAACTAAAAATGCTGAATACCACAAACCACCCAACACTGGTCGTTATAAAATGGGAGACATGCTTTAACTTCACGATGCTCTTGAAGAACTTCATCAATTCTCAAGTGCAGCTCGGACTTTCATAAGAATACAACGACCATTCTGAGGAGTTATCCTTAACAACTAGTTATTCTTTATGCTCACATTCATTCTTACTCGACAAAAACTCAATTGCGCAGCAGTCTTTCAAAAAGCCAGAGAGATAAAAATGAGAAAAAAATCAGAAAGAGAACTGCCGAGGTAAGTTGATTAAACAGACGTAGCATTGAACAATCACTGGAAGAAGCATGGGAAGAAATATGCATAACCTAGACATTTTTAAGCTTTGCCATCTTGGAAGGAGGCCATTTCCCTTTCTTCCTGAGCTTCCTCTTCCTCAGCAACCTTTTCCTTCGAAGCTCCTCCTTCTTTGCCTTCCTCTTCAGCAGCTCAGATTCAGAGAGCATAGTAGTAATGGCAGGCGCCGGCTCCTCGTTAGCATCACTCGAGGAGGCCACAACCTCGTCTCCAGCAGCCTTGACAACCACTGTCCTCACAACGACTTCGGCAGCCCTAACACGCGCATTGCTGAATCCCGTTTTCAAAGCAATCCCATTACCTGACCCAAACCCCAATTCCAAGTCAAGACTGTAACATAGCACTGTCTAAAAGCTCACACCCCCACGAAAATAGCACTCCAATTCGAACTAACATCTAAATGAACACATAGACCCACCTCGAAAATAGCCTCGCAACCACGTCAATCGAACCCCTTACTCGACTAGCAGAGAAAACCCACCCAGGGATATCCAGGAACACAGTACACAACCAGGGGCCAATGAATCTGAGGTAAAGAAAGCAACGAATCAAAGGATGACTTACCGAAGAGAGGACTAGATGCGACAACCCTCTGTGAGTTTGAGGCTGTTGCAGAAGAGAGTGATAACGAGGAGAGAGAACCCACCAGGGCAGAGCTGCAAGAAAGCGCCATCGCCACCGTGATAGCTTCAAACTTGCAAGGCTTCGGGGCTTCTTGAAGCTCTTACTCACAGCTATACATTCTCATCAGCCACTCTCGTTGTGGATAACCCGCTATATACGATGTATGAATACCATGCATAAATACAACACATTTGTTTACGAAAAGTTCGAGTGGTGCGGATGAGGATGAATGCTCCAAAAAGGTTCATTTTCCTCACGATGTCGTTGGATGAGATCCGAAGGAAAGGCTGCCTCATGTTTCGGCGACTCTCATGTGCGCGCATTGAGTCTGGATGGGGATTTGATCACTTAAATTTGAAGAGATTTCGTGTGCACGCGGTGCTGTACTGGAAGAGATTGGATCGTCGTCAGGTTTTTTGAGTCTCGCCGAAGAATTTCCGCACTGGATTGTAGCTTTTGTTGGTTGGCTTTGGCTTGAGGACGATGGTTCGTGGCTTCGTTGTTGTTGTTGTTGATTTTGTTTTTGTTTTTCGTCTTCTTCTTTTCTCTTTTCCGCTTTCTTTCCGAGATGGAGCATGTTGAATCTTGAAATCTCTTTCTTTAGGGTCTGTTTCGAAGGAGTGCAGCAACAAGGTATCTGATAAATTTTTCCATTTGAGCTATGGTTCAGGATTTGCTTGGTTTGTCTCGATTTGAGCTTTGCTTAGGAGCGTGAAATCCTGCAAGCGATGGAGTAATGTTTATCTGGGGTCTCTTACATGCTTTAACAGGATTGCAAGAGCCTTTCAGCATCATTGTGAACTAATTGCATTCGGTCTTCGCGTGACACATCTGAATGAGGATAGTCGACCAGCTGTTGGCAAACCTCTAAACTGAAGCTATTGTGAATTCGATTTGCAGGTGTATCTAAGTAATAAATTAATAAGAGAAGACACCAAGGAAAGGGTTGTTGCAATGGTATGGAGTAAAGCGTCTTTGTGAGAAACAGCATGTTGCGACCGCATCGTTGAGACAAAGATTTTGAAATTTCTCAAAGGCTGAACATAGAGCTATGGCAGAAAATGTGGCCTCCATGGCGGCACAAGTATTAGGGGAGATACAGCGAGTTTTCAACTCAGGGGAAAATGGAGTAGAAAACTCAGCATCAAACCTAGTGAAGGAAATAGCTCAATCAAAGGAAGGGAAAATTGTGCTACATGGAGTAGGAAGAGAGGGCCTTATGATGCGGGCGTTCACAATGCGCTTGTACCATTTGGGATTGAATGCTCATTGTCTGGGGGACATGACCTGCCCGCCAGTTGGTGAAGGCGACCTATTCATCGCTAGTGCTGGGCCAGGGTCGTTCAGTAGTATCGACGCGCTCATCACGACTGCGAAAGACGCAGGTACTAGGCCTATCCTCAGAACCCTAAACCTTCAAGAAGCTGGAGCATTCATGATGTGCAGGCAGATGTACTCTTGCACAATGAGGTTGTAATTGCTGCGTCGATCCTCTTTAGAATCACCAACCCAAGGACTCCACATTGAGCTTGAGTCTCAAATGTTGACGTTCCACGCTCACATTGCTTACATGTCTTCCGTCAGTGTATTGTAATTCATCAGTGATGACAGTTTCATGCTATGCCAGGCGCAAGGGTAGCAGTGGTGACAGCGCAACCAGGAGGCAAGGCGCCCAGCCTTGCCCACAGAAGGATCTACTTGCCAGCACAAACCATGGCCGACGACGAAGTTGCCAAGGGTTCCGATCAATCACAGACAGCTGATGTACACGATAAGCAGTGCGAACAAGAGCAGATTCTTCCGATGGGGAGCGTTTATGAAGGCGCCATGTTCATACTTTTCGAAATCGCCGTGTTTCTGTTGCGGAGGGAACTTGGCGAAACTTTAGAAAGCATGAGGGCTCGACACACAAACCTGGAATAGGCCGGTCGAATCTGCTTTGAACATGCTCAGAGCACACACAGAAGCAAAAAAAAAAAAAAAAAAAAAAAAAAAAACAAAACAAACAAAAACAAAAACAAAAACAGTGGCGTAGATAACGAGGCTGTCGGCAGCAAGAAAAAAATGAGAATCTGTGCACGTTGGGTCCGAATGGAAATGGTTTGCTCTCTCTCTCTTTCTCATGTATGACAATTGTGGCATCCTTCATAGCAATCAATTAAGTGGCGTATAATTCAGCTGACCCCTCCAAACTGTGTTCCCTCTTCTCGGTGCACAGACAGCATCCTCTAAATCTCGCAAAAAACACTATTGTTCCGTTTACAAGTATGTGTTTGTGGCCTGCACTTGAACCTTCGTGACTATTGTGTGATGTCTCAAAAAAATTTGCCTGGGTTTGAGCTCATTTTTTTTCAAGTTGTAACGCCATTTTGCTCTTGCTAAAACAATCCACATCTGCAACCATCCTATCTACTTTATTCTGATCGATTGAAAGTCTTAGTCACGATCTCTTTTCCTTCTGTTCAGTCTTTTGCACCGCTTGTGTTTGCTTCCGAAAGGGATGCTTTTCTTATCTCAAGAATCTCATGCAGTTTTTTCTGAAGTCTTTAATACTGAGATTGCTGATGTTCAATGATTGATTTGAATTGATTTGTTTAATCAAATTCTTATATCTTTGAAAGCATTTTCACTTGAGTTTGGTTCCGTCAAGTTTAGTATCAATTATTATTTATATTTGTTGCAGTGAATGAACAACTTTTAAATGAATATTAATCACTTGTAACACATCAATAAATATTTGAAGAGTTGTAGGAGAATCACATTTACTTGAAGGAAGACAGATAAAATTCAAATATGACTTTTTAGACAATAAAACAACGATTTATGAGGATGTGGTATGAAAAGATTTATAGAAGTAGAAGACGAATACATAAAGAAGATGAAAAAAAAAACATATAGATCATAAGAATTGATATTTCTTTTATAAAATTATAGCAATAATTGTTAGTAGATGTTATATACTACTACAAATAATTTTAATAAATAAAAATGTGAAGTAAAAAAATATGTATAAATGTTAATAAAAAAATTTTAAAAACTTAAGTAGATATTTTAGACCAAAAAATATATTTTGATTAATAATGTGAAATATATAATAATACTAGTGGCAAAACATATTTGCAAGTAGTAGGCAAAGTTTTAAAAAGATTTTTTCAATTTTTTTTTTGCATATTTTTTTAATGTATTTATTACTCTTATTCTTTTGTGATTAGAGCAACTTTAAATTTTTATTTAAATAAAATAAACATCAAAAAAATTATAATTAACCAAATATGTCTTACATATTAGAGACAATGGTATCTATCTTGACGTGTGCATCTATTTAAATAAAAAGGTAGAGAGAGATTCAACATTTGGGGATAACACCAAGAGCTACACTTTATGGACTTTAATTATATATTTTTTTATTGTCCACTTTATTTTACAACAGACACTTATCATTCCTTCATTTCAAACTTGTTATTGTAATGACCTTTTAAAGAACTATATCTTGTAGCAATTAATTTCTACCATTTTCATAAGTACTTAGAATCCTATTTCTTTAACATACTACTTTTAAAATAAAATAAATGCCTCTAATGTATATAGTAGAAGCTATATATATATAATTCTCTTAAATTTTTGTGCAAAATATTTAATAATAAAATAGTATTAAGAGAACGTCTTTTTAATTTGTTTTTTATTAGCAATGAATATACAAGACGTAATATAGACTAATTTTTGTGCATCATGCATATTATAAAATTGATTTTTTTAAATAAATATTTTATATAAATAATTATAATTATATTTCCAATAGCACAAATAAAATAGAGTGAATTTAGCTTAATTTTTAGAAATAATATAAAATAAATGACATCAAAATAATATATTTCTATATTTTCTATAAAATTGGATTTATGATAAATTTTGTAAAGCATACCATCACCATTACCTAATATACATTTATTAATTAAATCAGTTGAATTAGAGATATAATTAGAATTCATAAACAAAAAATAATATAAAACAATATAAAAGCCATCCATTACATTAATTAAATTGAAGTTCTAAAACTTTTAATTTTGACCATCACAAAAAATCATATTTCAATAGTAAGTACTCAAAGTTAAATGCAAAGGATTATTGAACATGAAGAATTGGTGGGTAAAACAATCCTAGAGAAGTAAGAGGCCAACTATAGTGTTACCATAAGTCCACCAAAGAACACTACTTGCTAAAGAGTCGTAAAGGCTATGCGGGGGGGGGGGGGGGGGGGGGGGGGTTGAATGAAGGTGCAGAATCCGACTTCAGCCCTAATAACTTATACTCGTGATTGGCTTCGTTGTGGGGATAAAGCACGACGCAGACCGTGAAAAGGGACTGACTGATCAGATGGCCAGATTATGCACGCTCCCTTTCCCCGCATGGGCCATTGGACTGAAACACACGCACACACACACTCTCTAGACGGACACCTTGGTCGTCACGCTCTTAGACTCCAGTCTGAACGCTGGCCTACTCGTAGACTTGTACAATATCAGTCGAAGGCCAGGAATAAAGAGCTATCGCACCCACAATCACGTTCACAACTGCAGCAGGAGCGGAACCCAACTCAACCTTACGCTAGTTTCGACATTCTACATCCGCTGCGTTGCGGTTGCCTTGTGTAGCCTCGGAAGTGTCTCGTGGGTGATCCCCTCCCTCCCTACCTCCCCTTCCTGCGGCGAATAAGTGCAGTGTGCACGAGTAGAACATTTAGTCGTCTTTGAGGTTCAGGTGATTAGGAGGAAGCAGGAATCATGCATCGCAACTCGGTCTATGGCCATGGCGAATGGAAGAAGCACAAGTCCTCGTGGAGGCATGTCCGTCATGTCTGCACTATTCTATCTTCGGGACTGATACGTGCAATCGGTCCGCCTGTTTTTCTTTGCACTTTGGTGTCTGTTTTCGTTGCGGTGATCAATCACTGTGTTGATAATGGTGTTCTCCCAAGTTGGTTTCCCGTGCTCAAAGTTGCGACCCTTCCCTTCACTCTCACTAGTCCTGTGTTGGCCCTACTGTTGGTGTTCCGCACAAACACATCCTACCAAAGATTTGACGAGGCGAGGAAGGCGTGGGGGTCGAACGTGAATCGGGCCAGAGACTTGGCGCGGCAAGCTCTGACGTGGATTCGTAATCCGGGAGACTCTAAAAAACTACAGTGCCTGCTTCGCTACACCAAGGCGTATTCCTTCTGTCTCATGCATCATTTGAGAGAAGAGGGTTGCCTTCGAAAGGAGCTTGAAGCGACGATTGTGAACGAGGAAGAGGTGGAGTGTGTTATGAACTCAAAAAATCGCCCAATCTGGGTCTTACAAGTCATCTCCGACATCATCAACGAGTGCCAGATTACCCCGTGGGAAAGAATTGCAATGGACAAGAACATAACCCAATTTCACGATAACGTCGGTGCTTGTGAGCGAATCTTCAAGACTCCAATTCCTGTAGCCTACACGCGGTTGACGTCTCGAGTCCTAACTCTATGGCACCTGGTTCTGCCATTCGCTCTTTGGGAAACCTGCGGCTGGCACACTATAACTGTGTCATTTGTGAGCAGCGCAGCGCTCTTCTACATTGAAGAAGTGGGAGTGATGATCGAAGAGCCGTTCTCAATACTGGCACTCTCAACGATATGCACTGGCATTGTAGCAGCTTTGGAGGGGTTGTCAAATGCCCACACGGATGCTTTGATATTAGTTTGGGGCATCGTCGAGCAGCAGTGGTCCACCAAGGCCGATCATTTGATGATCAACCTCAAGTAATCGCAAAAGTGCCGAAATTGGAAAAAGTACTGCTGAAACTGACGTCTGTGTTCTGATGATCGAGACTGAAATTGAGGAAGTAGGTTAGCACTTGCAGTGTGTGGCAATGGCCGTGTGCATCTCGGCACGCCGACTTGATGCCCATCTCCATGCCGCGACCACAACCTTCACTGCTTTGACAACTTCGGGGATCTCTTTACCGGGTCTAATTCATTTTTACGACATTGTTTCAACCCCAATAATGCTCAAAGACTGCATCCATCCTCCCAGCTCAATCACTGAGATTCACACTCGCTTAGGTGCGAGGAAGACGAGGATCATGTAAACTAGATTCTATCCATACACGTCTGGGAACGGAGTCCTGCATGGATGTTCAATGGCATGCCAAAAACACAGTGCTCCTGCTCTTAAAGCCGCACGCTGTCCATCACTGCAGATTTCAGTAGCTCATGGTTTGAAGTGCAGGATAAAAGTAGAACAGCTTGTGAAAGGGATGCCCTGATTACCGGCCCCTGTAAACTGGCCTGACCAAATGTGCCCACATCGTTCATCTTCATGATAAAGCACAGATTACATTTCATACTCTTTTGTCTAAAAGCAACGGTTTGCCATTTCTCCGTATAGCCATGTGATGTCCACCCAAGTGCCACTTCAGTTAAGATAAGTCTATAGATTTCTTAGTGTGGTTTTGTAAGCTTATATTAATATTTTTCACATACTTTGTTTTCTCATTCCCCTTCCCCTCTGGCAAGTTATATCCTCCAATAGATTCCAAATCATCACGACATAATTGGTCTGTTATTTCTTTAAGAAATTTCCACCCACCAATAATCTTTGTTTGATTCTACCTGCTATTATATATTTTTTGAATAAATTTTGCAAAATCAAATAATTAATATTTATTTAACATAATTTTCTTTTTTCTATTTTTGAATCATTTTAGAAAAACAAACAATAACATGCTCCTAAAAACATACAAATATATATATATATATATATATATATATAATAACTTTAAATATAACAAGTTCCAAGTATCACTTAAAAGTTTGTTGCTTTAAAACTTCAAAATGCATAATATACACACTCAAGTAGATATACGAATTCATGCACAGGTTTTGTACACACACAATTACAAAGCATAAATTGCAAGTACAAGTGTAATTAACATTTAAAAAACTAGTTTAGAATCAGTTTTTAAAAAGAATAAAAGATCAATTTTTATTGAAATAATCAAATATGAACTTTCATTTTAATTACATTCATATTCAAATTTCAAAAACGTTATGTAAGTAATAATTTTTTTTGGTGTAAACTTGATATGTATTTACACACTACATATCAATCAGAAATCAATTTGAGAAAAAAACATACAATATCATTTGAAAAAAATCAACAGTCATCAATAGAACAAGATTTCGGGAGAAATTGTTTGAACCAAAACACAGATAAAAACGACAATTCGAACACAAAATTAGAACTAAATTCTGATTAGGATGAAGATCTAGGATTTTACTTTGGAGGGTAAACAAAACAAAAGTCAAAATACATACAGACGATAAGATGCTCAAGAATCTGTGCAGTGATGCCGTCTCGAAATCCAACACTGCATTGCTTGAAACCGAAGGGCCCAGATTTGTGAGGGCAGATGATTGTTTTGGGCAACTTGGGCTGACGATAATACAGACAATCTGTGAGAGAATGAAACATATTCAAGTCATTGTCATGTGCATCATCTTCAACGCCGCGTGCTGTGACCATGAGAGACCTTTTGATGGCACCGTAAAGGGGACCTGATTGCGGCGAGACTTGAGGGTCGGCTTGGAGGAAAGAATCGACGACTCTTGACCTTCGGCGTTTACTCGCATCACGACTGATAGTGCAAAAACACTAGTCAGCTTAATTGTATTGAGTTCGTGGCCGGCGGCTAAGATCTAGATTCACACGACTGAACATTTTCCTTGGCAGCTCGATAGCATGGTGCTCCTAAAAAAGCCCAGGTCGTTCTCCCAAGGCCCTGTTTTCCACTCAACGGGTGGATGCTGGTGGACTATCCCCTTCTCGAGGTGTAACGAGAGTCCTCCCGTTTGTAGGATTGTAAATTTTGATGGTATAAAACCTAGCCTAATTTCTTAAATTGGATTAATCAGGACCAAAGTGATAAGATTTAGAAAATTAGAATAATAATTTAATTAGTTTTAATAATTTAGAGGTTGTTAGTCATTGCTATAAGAGTTGATTGAGAGCCTATGAATTCACCTACAATCATCTCATATGATTTAGAAGAAATTCAAATTATAATTTTCTAAAAAAATTTAGTAAAGATTAACAATGGTAGTTTTAAAGTTTTCTTCCAAATTTAACAAATCTAAGCAGCAAAGGGACTTTTCTAATTAATGGAAGCCTTTTTAATGCAATGGTAGCATCACATTTATTGCATTGAGTGAAAAAAATAAGATCAATACCCTCTCTACCAAAATACAAGTAGAGCCAAGAAGATGTCATTTTTGAAGAAGTTTATCTTTGGAGATAAACATCTTCATAAAAATTGCATATGACCATGGATAACGACATGTGAGTAGTCAATATTAACATAAAAAGATGTTTTGAATAAAATGGTGAAGTTAAATTTACCATTTTTTTTTGACTACTTATAATAGCCATCAGCCTAGATAACGAAATTAGTTTTTAGATGCCGTAGATCTAGATTAGAATCTTAGAGTTCAAGGGTGGAGATGTGGCAGCCTTCCATGAGCCTCCACTCACTTGAATAAAAAGATTTGGTTGCCTAAGCTCTTTCTCTCTCTTATTTTTTGGTGAAAGGCAAAGCAATGCCAAATTTTGGCCTCAAACGTTAATTCTAATCTCATTTGGATTTTAGATTTTATTGTGCACCTTGTAAATATGGGGGCATTGGTTTTGTGTGTGGCTGGTACTTGTTGTGGTTTAGAAGGCACTCTATTGGAATTAGTGGTTCTAAAACATTTTAATAGTCAAAAAGATTTGAAGTGCTTCAAATTTTTCTCAATTAAACTATGTTTTTTCTGTGGTTTTTATGATTTTGAAAGTGATTTTTTTTAACACATAACTCTTATTGTCAGCTTTTCAACAAGCTAAGGCTTGCTTAATTTGGAGTTAAAAGATATTTTTGGTGAATTATTGAGTGCAAAGGGATTGGCTGCCTTAGTAATTTGGATTATTCAATTTTGAAAAGACAATCTTCAGTGTCTTATGATTGGGTTTTATCTGAAATTTTTATAAAAACAAGATTTATAAGCTTAGCTTCTAAGGGAATTAATTTCATAGAAATTAAAACTGATCTGAATTATCGGTGAATTTCCAAGTAAAAGGAGGTAGGTTGCCACAATAGCTCCAATTACTCAACTTTTAAGTGGTATTTCTCGTGGCTTAAGTATTAGATTACTATGAAGATTCTTAAAGAAAAAGCATCTTCAAGTCAAGTTTTCAATCATATAAGAATCATTAGATTAAAAGCTGATCCGAATTTTTGGAAAATTTTGGAGTAGAAGGTTGAGGTTAGTTCTTTCTATCTTTATCTTATTTGTTTGTTTGTTTTTTTTTGTTTTTGTTTTCGTTTCTTTTTTTTTTTCCTCTTCACCTTCTGACTTTTGACTTAAGCTTAACTCAAATTTCAACTTTAAATTTATTTTAATTTTTCTTACTTTTACTTTTACCTTTACTTTTTATTTTTACTTCATTTTTATTTCTATTTCTATTTTATTTTTACTTTGCTATAACTTCTACTTTTATTTTTATTTTTATTTATCGATTTAATTATTTTTTTTCTTCTATATATATGATAATTTTTATATACTAAAATAAACTAATAAATTATTATTAACATAATTTATATATATATATATATTAAAAATAAACATAAAATAAAATAAAATAATAATAATAATAAAAAAATAAAAATATTAATTAACATTGATAACCATTGCTTGAAAGGAAATAAAATAAATTGAATTACAAACACCTACAATTGAATTTATTTAGCAATTGTACAATTGGAAGTTTTCTATTTTATCTTTCAAATTTGTTGTATAGTATTAGTGTTACAAAGTAGTAGAATTTGGGCTCACAATTAAGAAGAGACACCTTGGAGTATTAGAAACTATAAGGTGCTGCAAACCATACCATCTGGTCATATAAATTCAAGAATCTTTTTCAAGATGAGAGTTTGTGGAGTATTGTCGATTCTTCTAACACTTCAACTTTTAAGTCTTTCTTTCACATGTTCTAGATGGTCTTTGGCATTGGATTAGGTAGTAAAATCATCTATAAATACCAAGATATATTTGAGTAGCAAATCCAAGAATGCAAAGGTCATAGCTTGTTGGAAGGTAGAAGAGGCATTATAAAGCCCAAAAGACATGACCTAAAAAATGAAGGTACTTCAAGGAGTGGTAAAAGCCATTTTATGGCAATCTTCTAAGACTATAAGAATTCGATTACAACCTGAATACCTACCCATAAAAGTGTAGGTTTTGTGATTTGCCACTTCATCTAAAATATTATTAATAAGAAGAAAAGAAAAATGGTCCTATTGAGTATATGTCAAGGACAAGAACTCGATAAAAAAAAATTCAGACAAGTGAGCCTTCACTCGAAGAAAGATAACAAAATATAAATAAACAAGTATGTATATTGAAAAAGAAACTGGAATGGCTATTGCCAAAAGACAAGAAAACTACAGACCTTTGAAACTAGACTAGAAGCAAGAAAGGAGTTGACAAGAGTGAAGAAGACTTCACTCTTGTCTCTATATATACTATCTAACTAGAGGCTATATGGTGACGTTCTATAGGACCTCCAATATGTGTTGACTTTGTAGGACACATGCCTTGACTTACAAGGCAAGTTTTTCTACGTGTGGGCCATATAGTTAGCTTGATCTTCAAGCTAACAACATGTGTGGCACATGGCCAACTTGTTGACTACGTTTTTAATCCAAAAAGTCAATTAAAGATACCTAT